TAAAGATATACTTTTTAATCAATCGCAAATAGCGATAGGTTTAGGGGTTTTGGGTTGATACCGATCGATACGAAGCGATATCTATCGTAGAATGAAAGTGACTGGTATCGGTTGGGATCGCTATGTCTCATTAAACACAACTTACGTCTATGCTTTAAAATGAAGAATTTGATATACACAGGGTATTGGACGTTATTCAAGAATAGGTGTGTATAAAAATTGGAGGAACGGCTATCATAAAAATGACTGACTGACGTCAGGATCACTGATTTACTGATCACTGATTACTTTAACCTTCTTGAACCTTCTCGAAATGTCTAGATTTTTCTTGACGTGGAATGACATTTCTCGAATATTCCCCCTTCTTCTTTTACTTGACGTGTTTATTATTATATTGAGTTTATCCATTAAAGAGAAAAATCCACAGTGAACAATAATTCTATGGACACTGAAAAGGAAATAGGAGAGAACACGTACGTGAAGAAAACGACGAAAACTGGTTGATAACCAAACGTATAAAACGTATAAAAATAGTTCCGCGGAAAATAACGTTATTTTCAACCAAACGTTATAAAAAACGTATTCTGTTAAAAATTATTAGAAAAATACGTTAGAAAATGGTATAACTTAATAACTGAAATCTTTAGGTTGAATTTTCAACCAATAACATTTTTTTATACCATACAACGTTAAATTTACGTTGAAAAAACAAGTATGTGTTCATTAGAAATAAAGCTGATCAGGAGCTCAAGGGGTAACAGAGAAGGTAGAGACGCAGGGAAGGTAGAGAGATAGAGAAGGCAGAGAGGCAGAGAAGAAACAACAGTTTTCTTAATATTTTTATCGAAGCCAATCAAAAATTGTAAATTTTCAAATACAACTCGTAGAACCTGGCCCAAGAGAGATTTTTCCTGGTAGACGTCTGGTGTGGACAGCGTCTCCATGTCAATATTATATTTCTTTTATTATCAGAACTTTGTATTATTTAACTTCTTCAAAAATATTTTAAAAATTGAATGAAATCATGCTTCAAAAACAAGTGTTACTTTAATTACCATTTTCATTAATACTTTAGTCAGTATGATAAACAGAACTTTTAATAGTTCTTTGTCAGATTCTGCTTGATATATTTTCAAGCTCAAAGGACTCTTTACGGGACCCTGCGGACTTAGAAGACGCCTAAATTTCTTAGGGATATCTGAAGACAAATCGCGAAAGCGCCCACCAGACATATTCTTGAATTCATCAAGAAAATTAACCTGAAGGGGTAGAAACTCTGAGGGATACAATATGCTTAGAACTTCAGTACAAATGGGCTTTGAACTACACCCTAATTCAGATAGATAGCTCATGGTGGTTGTGCGCACCTTAAGTTATTTAATATATTATAATGGGTTTAAAGGGGGAAAATATAAACGAAATTGTTTGATTTTTTAATAATGTGTATCACTTACCTTAGATATTCTTATATGCTCTCATATATAAGGTGTTTCTTAATGATATGCAAATATTTAAGGGTTACATAAAAAATAAATGATAATTTGCTAAGTTAACTATGGTCCAAAAATGTTCTAAGGTACCTGAGCCAATTATTGCCATATTCCTAATATTACCAACCAAACCAAAATCATGACGTCATTGATTTTGCGGCCGATATACGTACTAAAACATTCTAAGAAATGAAATCAACTTCGGGGCTGCATCATAAGAAAAATGGTGCAAGGAAACGTCTTAGCAGATGTAGTATTTTATCAGAAGAGCAAGAAAATTATTTAGTAAATAGGATCCATCGGCTGGCAGATGTTGGGATGCCAGTCACGCCTAGCATAGTGAGACAAAGTGTATACTCTTACGCCACGACACGTAACATTCCTAATCCATTTTCCCAGGCATCAAAATTAGCAGGCAGAAAGTGGTTAAAGTTATTTTTCAAGAGACATCCTGATGTTGTGAGACTAAGGCGCAGCAAATGAACCTTGCTAGGGCTCAGAAAATAAATATATTTATTGTTAATGAATATTTTAATAAATTAAAGGAAATCTACACTAAATTGGAGTTGTTCGACAAACCAGGCAATGTATACAACATGGACAAGAAAGGTTGTCGCCTCACGATTCATAAACAACAGAATGTATGGGCGAAAAAGGGTGTAAAGCGTGTGGAAATGCATTAGGGCAGGCGTTTCTACCAGTGATCATTTTTAAAGGAAAACGTTGAAAGCCCGAATGGGCAGATCATTTACCCTCTGGATCCAAGATCAACATGACCAACGATGCTTTTATTTCCTGGCTCGACCATTTTGCCATGTTTAAGAACCCAGGACCAACACTTTTCATTTTTGATGGGGCTAAGTCACACCTCAACGCATCTATTGTTGATGCTGCCCAAAATCACGGAATCACTCTATTTTGCTTACCTTACCACCACGTACTAGTTGCAACTCATGCACAAATCAGTTTTTCGTAGCATTTTGGGATCAGGAAGTATTGAACTTTTTAATAACACAACCTGGAAAAGCTTTAACCAAAATAAGGTTCGAAGAAATATTTTTAAAAGTGTGGTTGAAAGCAATGCCACCGTTCAATATACTCTCTGGATTTAGAAGTACAGGCATCTATCCTTTTGCTCCCGATGCAATCCCGGAATCTGCATTTGCACCCAGCGTCGTAACAAGAATAGATGAAAATAAAAATGAGTCTAATATTACTTTGCCAACAAGTCCTATTCCCTAGCCAAGTGGAGTAAATTCATCAATAACCAAAAATAAAAAACATACTGCTTACCTCCAAAGTAATTCATCGAAATCCGAAACCTCCCCCTGATAATGACTCCTTCACAGAAAGTGACAAAGAACCACTAATTAAAATGTCTGCTGCATTAGGGGATGTTACGGAGAAAGGAGTACCTGGTGATGATTTGGATAAGTCGTTTAGTGGCATGGGTTTTCTGGTTACTCCTGGGATAAAAGTTGCATCGTCACAAAGAAAGCCTGCTATTAGTTCAAGGACTCAAGAAATAATTCAGTGCTAAGCCAAAACCTGCTCCAAAAAAAGTCACGCAAAAAAAATATTTTCCTCAAAGAAAGTGGTACACGCAGAATCTGCTCCAAAAAAATAGTTGCTTGTAGTTGACTCTTGGTTTTGTTTCCTATGCGAAACAGAAAGGCAAATCGATATGAAGTTGTGTTCAGTATGTAAAAGATACGTTCACGAAGAATGTGTCGGTCTAAGGCCAACAAAGAAATGTTTATTTATCTAGATTGTTGGACTTTTTTCATTAACAAGAATGTTACTTTTTAATTAGTTTTTTCTTTTTAGTATATTTTTTATAAGAATGTTCCTTTTTATTTTGTACCTAAATAGCATTTATGATATGATTAATTGTAAATGTAATTAAGTTTTATTCTTTAATTGGCTTATTTCAGTGATATTCCTAATACTACCACTACATGGCAATATTTGGGCTACCTGTTCCAAATATTGTCATTTTGCAATGTTTTAAAAATATGCTAAAATAAAAATAATAAATTAATACTTATTACAAATAAATGGCATACGTTCCATATTAGAAGACATGCTGTAGACTGTTTTCTAAAACGATCTAGGTGAATATGTTAAAATAAAAAAATTAAAATCCTTAGGGTGGCAATAATTCGCTTAGGTACCTTATTACAAACATTCAGGGAGCTAAAATTAAAAAAAAACTTAAATTAATGTTCAAAAAAGGTAAATCAAACGAGGGTGGTCCTTAGGATCTCACAAGAGTATTTTATTACGACCGGTTTCGAGGATCAGATCCTCATCATCAGGTAAGGTCTAAAATAGAGAGGAAAATCGAATGAGCTCATAACTAATAAAGTGGGTTTAAACATTTTAATATGAAAGTTGTCAAATATCAATGTTTAAACCCACTTTATTAGTTATGAGCTCATTCGTTTTTCCTCTCTATTTTAGACCTTACCTGATGATGAGGATCTGATCCTCGAAACCGGTCGTAATAAAATACTCTTGTGAGATCCTAAGGACCACCCTCGTTTGATTTACCTTTTTTGAACTTATAACTCACACATGGCTACCACCTTCAACTTTAATTAAATTAATGTATTCGAAACCACGTGACATACTTCAGTAATATTTAGTACACAGTGACAGTTTGTATTGTCAGTTGTTGTTGTTTATTGCATGCAGATGTCAACCCGTAATGTGTTTAATTCTTCCAAATAATTAATAATAATTTTGCAAGTTTTTTTACTCAAAAACAGCTCATAGCAGGAAAAAACTAAAGAGAATTCTTGTATTTTAAATTGAAAACAAATCAAAAATAATTTTTATAGGGAAAAACCATTGGCGTACCATTTTTTTTCAACAATATAGAAGTCGGTGCCCGTACGCACGCCACTGTTAAGGCTTAAAATTATTTTTGTATTGAAAAATAGGCAACTTTATTAATTGTCACTGCCTACTTAATATCACTTAAATATCTTAAGCGGTTCAAAAATAATAAGTAATTTTCTTTTTTTTAGCACCCCGTATTTTCATAATGAAACATTTTTGAACCATAGTTTTCGTATATGGGAAACAAAACTTCAGACTCTTTTTCAAACTAGTAATTTAAAAAATGTATGTGACTAATAAAGTTTTGATAATTTAATTGTCAAATTTTTTTTTGAATTTTCTTATTTTTATTGGAATTGTAATAATTTTGAATTTTATATTAATTTTTTAATTAAAATTTAGTAAATCTTCACTTTTTTATGATCAAATTTGTCAACCATTTTAATGCCTAAATTTTTTGAATTATATCTCATTTTTATCAGGAAGTTATTTTCAAATTCGTGTTGTAATAATTTTGATATTTATATTAATTTTTTAATTAAAATTAAGTTTGGCAGACCTTTTTGACCAGATATAGTTTTTGTCAAATTTGTCAAGAATTTTTATATACAGGGTGTGATTAAGCACTTTTAATGAAATCATTTTTATTTATTGATTTTAAGACTGATTTAATTTTGATGGTTATAAATTTTATCTCAATACATCAAATAACTATTACTTATCCAGTTATCAAGCTTTTAAAAATAAAAAACTTTGTAATTATTATGTTTAATAAATATAATACACCAGCAAAACCCATTCTATTAATACTGATAGGTTTATTTATAAAAACAATATTTATACATATATGTTTAACTATCATTAACCCTATTAATTTACAATAAATACAACAATTTAAGTAAGCCCAGTAACATTTCACCATTTATTTACATAATTTTTGTTGATAAATATACAACTTTTTGTTCAAAAATGATTTAAGAGCTGGCTTCAAAACCATCTACTGCATCTTCATCGAAATCTACGTCTCTCCTGCTTCTTCTAAATCCCTTCCTACTAAATGAGGGTAGAAAACCAATATTTCTTTTAGACCTACTAGCTTCTTCATCTGCATCTACTTCATCGAATAAGTCAGCTTCTCTCCTGCTTCTTCTGAAACCTTTTCTGCTAAATGATGGAAGGAAACCAATATTTCTTTTAGACCTGCTGGCTTCTATGTCTGCATCTGTTTCATCAATTAAATCGGCTTCTCTCCTACTTCTTCTGAAACCTTTTCTGCTAAAAGAAGGAAGGAAACCAATATTTCTCTTAGATCTGCTAGCTTCAACGTCTGCATCTGTTTCATCAACTAAATCAACTTCTCTTCTACTTCTTCTGAAACCTTTTCTGCTAAATGATGGAAGGAAGCCAATATTTCTTTTATTCCTGCTAGCTTCAATGTCTGTTTCTGTATCATCAAGTGCATCTACGTCTCTTCTATTTCTTCTGATACCTTTTCTGCTAAATGATGGTAAGAAACCAATATTTCTCTTAGACCTGCTGGCTTCTACATCTGCATTAGTTTCGTCAATTAAATCGGCTTCTCTCCTACTTCTCCTAAAACCTTTTCTGCTAAAAGAAGGAAGAAAACCAATATTTCTCTTAGATCTGCTAGCTTCAACGTTTGCATCTGTTTCATCAACTAAATCAGCTTCTCTTCTACTTCTTCTGAAACCTTTTCTGCTAAAAGATGGAAGGAATCCAATATTTCTTTTATTCCTACCAGATTCTGCTTCGTCTTGAATTTCAGAGTCATCTACTCCTCTTTTGTTCCTCAGAGCCCTTTGTGCGAATAACGGCAACCAATATTGCGGGGCAGTATCCATGTCATCTTCATTATCAGCTGAACGTTTGGAGATTTTCTCGAGACCAGTCAAACTCATGAAATTGTCACTGTATAAACTTCTTTCTGCTCTGTCGGCTGATCTTTTTGAGATTTTTTCTACGCCAGGAAGATCAACAGCGTTTTCTGTGAATAGGGATCTTTTAGAAATCTTTTCTGCACTAGGCAGATAGTTGTCACTGTCTGTGAATAAGGATCTCTTCGAGATTTTTTCACCACCGGTTAAATAGTTTTCACTGTCTCTAAATAAGGATCTCTTGGAGATTTTTTCGGAACCAGTAAGATCATTATCGATATCTCTAAGTAGGGATCGTTTTGGTCTATCTCCCTCTGGTATCTCTAATGGATGGCACAGAGGTAGAATAGCCGCCCCTACCAGTAGGGTGAGAATAATTAATTTCATTGCACTAAAAATCACTATAGTTTGATGATTGTCGTTCGTTGTACACTTTAAAACTTATTGATCATCAACGATTTTTCGAAATATATATCGATTTTTGGTGCTAATTGCGTTGACGAATTCTGATACAGAAAAATAATCAATATCAATAAAGGATGTTAATATTTTCGATAAACAAAATGAAATATTTGCGTCAGTATAACTCAGTTTGGTATTGAAACAGCCGAGTAAATTTGATTTAATTGTTTACGGACCTAATAAAGTATAATAATAATTACAGATTATAGTGGTCTTGAAAAATATTTCCTTTTAATGCTAATAATAGGTACAATGTTTTCAACTAGCTAGTAAAAGGTGTTAATTGACGATTGGATAAATAAATCAATTATGGGGAATTATTGTATACTTGCCAATAGAATTGTATTTTTTCTTTTGGAATTTTCATTGCGTTTGGAATTAATGCTTTTCTAGGGAAAAAGAAAGAAACTTTTAAAAATATAATATAACTAGAATGAAGATATACAGGGTGATTCATTACTAATTGGAAATATTTCAACTATATAATTCTGAGGTCAAATTATTAAAATTTAACACAAATTACCTAGATAAAATGTATCTCCATTCTGAGTTACAGGGTGTTTTGTTTAAAAATTTAAAAATTATTACTGTCCAGTACTTTAAAACTATTTGACGTAATATTGTCATATTTGGCAGGATACATGCTTTCATAGTACGACATATCAAAATAAGCGTAGGTTTTGAGTAGTTGGCTCTGGTCTGACTTAATTAATTCGATCTAGTAGGATGCTGTTATTTTTGTTAGTTGTTACTGACGCTTAAAATTGTGATTGTTGTAAAATTTAAAAAATGAAAATGCCGCGGCACAATAATTTTACTAATCTTGAAATGCGAGACATGGTCTGTGTTTATGTAAATGAAAATTATTCCTCCCTTGCAGCTGCTCGAAGATATCAAGAAATCTATCTAAACAGAGTTCACCCCAATCGCCAGACTTTCAGTAATATATTTAATCGATTAGGAGAAATTGGACAATTTAGACGTAATAGTGGTATCGGACGACCGAAAATATTAACTATGGATAGAAAGGATGATATGTTAGTGAGTAGCTGATAATCATGAACTAAGTACTCGGCGTTTAGCAGCAATGACTGGAGTAAGCCAGTCCTCAGTTTTTCGAATACTGAAAATAGTATATTGTTTCACGAGTGACGAAAATAACATTTTTTAAAGCGAGAGAACAATTTACCAACCGAGGCGAAGCCGAGGTTGGTAATATTCGCGAGCTTCAAAAAATGATTTTCGACGGTAAAACACTATACTTTTTCTACGAACTCTATTATGTCATGTAGGTACCTACTAAAATAAAAAAAAACAAGCAAATGCTTTATTTTGTGTTAGGAATAACAAAAAATTAACCAACAATTAAATACTTATTTCAGAAATATTATTTATTATTTAAATATTGATTTATTGTTATATTTGAACAATTGTTCAAAATTATGGGGGTATCACACTCAAGCTTTTTATTTATTGAGGTAGATGCCGACATATTTGTTCTACTGTTAAATGTCATTTCAGATGATGATGCGCCATAATCGGATGAACTAGTAGTTTCCTTATTTTGTAGAGATAGTAAAATTTTGGTTTGTATTTGGTTTTTACTGTTCGTGGATTCATCAACATATCCTTCCGCAACACTACTAGATTTACAACCACCGTGATTTTTTAACAGAAGCAAGTCACCTCCTGCATCCACTAATAGCGTTGCGGATGTTCTGCGGAAACAGTGCCCAGTGAAATCTTGAGAATTCAGAAGCGTTAAAAACTGAGCAATTTCGTTAGGAAATTTACTGATTTTATTAATTCCAATAACCTGTCTGCTACACTTTCCATTCTGATAGTTAATAAAGAATCTTGAATTAATTTGATCCATGTTTGCGGGACGTAGGCTCATATATTTTTTAGAAATATCATAAAAGGGTCCAGAAATATGAAAAGAACGCGGAACTTTTGTTTTTGTATTACGGATTTTAACTAAAAGAATACCTCCAGTATCCTTTACATCGCTTGAGCGCTTTCTTTTATGTCATCTGGGTTACTCACGAGCAGTACCAGAGCTGCTCCTGACTCTTCTTCTTTTTAACGGGGCTTGTTGATCTGGAGCAACTCCCACATGTTCTCTTCTCCCCTCAAGCACATTGTTACTTGTCTTGTCAATTGTCATTGGGTTATCGGTTTAATGTCAGATAGATTTTATATATCTTTTATATATTATAATAACGAGGTTTTTCGCTGACTAAAGATTAAAATGAATACAAAAATAGATTTATTGAACTTAATGATCTACAACTAAATAAAAAATACCGTCTACTTGTTTCTAATGAAGATTTCGACAGAGCATCCATAGGCAATGAATTAAAATTTAATAAATGTATACATACTGTGCATAAATTTATATTTCAGATGAAGAATTTGCCACGTCCCTAATAAATCATTGTAGAGTAACTTCAAAAATGCCATTCAATTCACCAGTGGTTGAAAATACTGATGCCCAATCATCTACTTCTGTGGCAAATCAAGTACAATTAGCATCTTCGGAAAAGTGCATTTGGTCATATAATAAAACTATGGCATTTATAAAACGATTTAAATTTTAAATAACTGCACCAACTGCACTGACTTTGACAACTGACAAGTATCAATAAAGGAGTTCGCCGTAGACCGTTATCAGTCGATCTTTTTTGACGTCATAGGGTTCCATACTCTAAGAACATTAAACACTTAAAAAGAAAGCACTCATTTGTTAAATCTTTTAGTTCGTGGCAACAACAAGCGCCAGATAATCCAAAAACTAATGCTACCTACAAATATTAGTAGTTATGTATTAAGTATTTGTTAAAATAAAAATAATAATTCTGTTACCTGTTATTAAATATTTATAGTCAGGTGCATTCTTTAGGAAAGTCTTCAGGCGAAAAAATTTTGGATTTTTGGCTTTTAAAACCATCAGATTTTCTTTTTAAAAGCGAACGTAACTTTGGATATTTACTAATATCGACATCATTTTTAACAGAGAGTGTAGTTCTTAGCATCGAATAAATGGACCATAACGTCGACGGTTTAAAATTTGAACATATTTCTCCAAAGTATGCTAGTATACAGTTTCCGAAAATGATTTCACTTTATTTTTTTCTCTCCAGTCCAAAAATTTGATATAAATTTCTTCATATCTCTTTTTTTGGTTTGGCCGGTAATAAATCTGAAGAGGTTTCTTCAGCTTTAAAAATAATTTCTGAGGGAGTACAATCGCTTTCTGACTCAGACATCATGAAAATGTGTTAAATTTAGGACGAACTGAAACTGACAGTTCTCAAAAGTGATAAAACTTCAAATAAACAAATGAAAACCAGGAAACTAGATGTAGATTGGTTTAATTTGCACTATTTTTATACATTTTTATTTTATCTTTAATTCATTAAAGTTTAGGTAAAAACGCATATAGAATTTAATGAGCATCTTTTTATTTCATTATTAATAATTATAAGCTGCCAAAATATTATACGAGGCGACTGATATATGAAAATATGTAACAACTTAATTTCGTCACTAGAGACGAAAGTAAACGTTATGGGATTTTTTCTCACTAGTGACGGAAATCAAGTTTTCGCTGAAAGTATCCTGTTGCGAAAGATGTCTTTTTGTAAGAGTTCGTAGAAAAAAGAACATTTACGACCTTACCACTTTACATCGGTACAGAATTTATTAGCTAGAGATTATCCTTTACGAATGAATTTTGCTCATTGGATGATAAATAAAAAAAATGAAAATCGTAATTTTATTGAGAAAATTCTTTTTACTGACGAGGCCACATTTACAGGTAAGAGGTTTTCAACTAGAAAAACGGCCACAATTGGGATATTGAAACTCCCTATCTATTCCGAGAATCACATTTTCAACACGAATTTAAGATAAATGTATAGTGGTATATTATGTGAAGATAGTTTGTTGGGTCCTTATGAAGTACCAGAAAATTTAAATGGTAACTCGTATTTACAGTTTTAACAAACTACACTTTTCGATTATCTAGATGAATTGTCGATTAATGGAAGAAGAGACATGTGGTTCATGCAGGATGGAGCACCACCTCATTATCCTTTAATAGTGTGGAACTATCTCGACCATCAATTTCCTCATCGTTGGATTGGCAGAGGTAGTGGATTTACATGGCCGTTTTGAAGTCCCGATTGTAATCCCTTAGATTTCTATTTCTGGGGTAATATGAAATCATTAGTATATTTCCAAGCAATAAATACTTTACAGGAACTATGGCAGCAAATTTTAAATTTTATTAATTTGATTGCCAATCAGCCAAACATATTTTTTAAAGTTAGAAGATCGTTTAGTGAAAGAATGAATAAACTTATTGAGGTAAACAGGGGCCACATTGAACATTTGTTATAAAAAGTCTCTGAAGTTTTGTTCTTTGTGCTTTTTGACACTTTCTTCCTATTAAAATTGTTCCTTTATTATTTAGATTATTTGTTTTTAATTGTTTAATCCATGTTAACGTGGATAGTCACTCTCTGTGAAATAAACGAAATGACCTAATAATTACTGGTTATATTAAAAGGAACAAAAATACAAAAAATTGTGCCACTCAGCAATACAAAGCGTTTACAATAATAATTTAAAGTTGACTCAATTAATGTAAAACAAAATAATTGTAATAATAACTTTATCGCTATGAAGTAAAAGCACACTATTTACAGAGAAAGTATTGAAGAATCGAAAAATTGTAATAAAATTGCAATTTTGCCAGTGGTGTAGAATTTGGGAAGGATTAACCAGTCACTTTCACCTGTCGTACGCCTCTGATTGTAGCCAGAAATGTTTTATTCAACATAACTTAGGGCGAGGTGTACAATGTGCCGTAAATCTGAAGATTTTTTTGAACCACAAACTGAAGTTTTAACTGAAGATATCTGAAGTTTCGGTGTACACGCATCTAACAATCCAAGGTTAAAATA